AAATATTGTTTGGGGAAGTACCTCTAAAAGTAAGTTACAAAGTCTTTACCATCGTCAGAAACACGCAATGCGTTTAATATGTTTCGAAAATCGTTTTTCTCATTCAAATATTTTATTTAAAAACGTTAAAGCTCTTAACGTTTACGAACTCAATGTCTATAATATTTTATGTTTTATGTTTCGTTGTAAAAGTGAACGACCATTGTCCAATTTCAAAGATCTTTTTACTTATAAAGCTATAAACAAATATGCTTTACGAAATAATAATTTATTAATTGAACCCTTTTGTCAAACAAAGTTTAATCAATTTTGCATAATTTATAGAGCACCGTATTTATGGAACAAAATTGTTGTTCCAAATTTTGATTTGTCGATTTCGTTTTCCGTTTTTAAAACTAAATTAAAAAACTATATTCTTTCTACTGGCAATATATATAAATATTTTTGAAATGTAAAATTTTTTTTTTTTACTCTGGATAATTTGTAAAATTATTTTCAGTTTTTGTTTCTTCTACATTGTTATTAGTTATTTGATCAATTATATTTTATTTTATTATATATACACGTATTATATCTTTTATATGGTTCTGGCGACAAGATCATTTGGATCTTCTTTCAGATACCAAGTTTATATATTGTTATATTGTTATATTACGATTAATAATTGTAAACTAAAGTAAAAAAAAAAAAAAAAAAAAAAAAAAAAAAAAATTTTTTTTTTATTTTTTCAGTTTACAATTATTAATCGTAATATAACAATATTTTTATTTCAATTTTATCAATAAAAAGTTTAGGCAATTTATTTGGTAAAAAACGTTTTTTAGCAAGAGAGTGGAAAAGGATCCACTTTGTTTTGTCAATGTTTAAAGTTAACTTGTTGCACTTAAACCAGTTGGAGATCTGATTGAGTTCATTATTCATATTTGAAAAAAGCTCATAAATGCTACTGTTTGACAGAAATAAATTAGTATCGTCCGCAAAATTTATACTCATAAGGTTAGAAGCTTTATTTAAATCATTTATATAAACTAAAAACAAAAGTGGGCCTAGAATAGAACCCTGTGGAACACCACATTTTATGTCAATTAATTTTTCATTTTGAAAATAATCTCCATAGAAAACAAATTGTTTTCTATTTTCCAAGTAACTTTGATACCATTTTATTAATTTGCCATTAATTCCGTAAAATTTGAGTTTTTTAAGTAGAATTTTGTGATCGACCGTGTCGAATGCTTTTGATAGGTCAATGAAAATACCTAATGTATATTGTGATCTACCAAATGAATCGGAGATTTCACGAATGAACTGTGTAATGGCTTGTTCAGTTAAACAATTTTTTTTAAAACCGAATTGATTTTTATATAGAAGTTTATTTAGATTAAGGTAATTGTATGTTCTATTGTATATAATTCCTTCTAAAATTTTTGAGAAAGTTGAAAGAACTGAGATGGGGCGATTATTACTAATATTTGATTTTTTTCCGTTTTTGTATATAGGAGTTACTTTAGCTATTTTTAATTGGTCGGGGAATACACCTTGCTGTATAGATGCCCTAAAGACTTTATAAAGAATACACTTTAAGTTTTCAAAGCAATCTATGACTATGTTGCCATTTATTTCGTCCGCACCCGTAGCTTTGTTTCTTTTGAGAGATTTGTAAGCTATCTCAAACTCATCAAAAGATAAGTCAGAATGTAAATTATCTATAAAAAGCGAATTGTTTATAGGCTCTAGGAAATCACTAAAATTTTTTTCTGTAATAGGGATCTTGTTTGCCAATTTGGTTCCTATGTCAATGAAATATTTATTAAACTCGTTTGCAATTTCGTTTGGTTCATATATATTTGTTTTATTTATTTTAATTACTTTAGGAAGGGAGTTTGAATTTGTTTTTTGTTTTCCTGTTATTTCTTTCAACGTTCTCGAAGTATTTTTTGAGTCGTTTTTAAATTTACTAATTAAATTTGAATAATAATTTTTTTTTAATTTTTTACGAATTTTTCCAAATAAATGTTTTTAATTTTTATATTTTTGTTGGTTTTCACTTGATTTTGTTTTTAGATATTTTATATATAGTTTCTGTTTTATTTTAGAGGATTTTCTAAGTCCTTTGGTAATCCATGGACTATTTAAGGTTTTTATTTTTGTTATTTTTTCACAAAGTGGAAAGTTTGCGTCGTATATTGAGAAGAACGTATCAAAGAATTTATTATATATTGTATTTGCGTCTTCATTAAAGTTAATATGTTTTCAATGCAGAAGTGATAATTGATATTGGAAGGATTTTATATTGCTCTCATTGAAGACACGTTTTTTTATTATATTTTGTCTTTCGGGGTTATTAGAGGATACAGTATGGATTGTTAGAAAAATGGGGAAATGATCGGATATGTCGGTTTTTATAATTCCTTTTTTTAATTTTCTATTATAAATATCCGTTGTAAAAATATTATCAATCAACGTAGTTGAAGTTTTGGTTATTCTAGTAGGGCGATTAATTAAAGGAACAGCTCCTGCCATAAGTATTTCATCATAAAAACTTTTTATTTTTTTATCTTTATTATAAATTAAACAGTTCATGTTGAAATCTCCAATTATAAAAGTAATTTTGTTTTCTTTGCTACCTTTGTGAATGATTTTTTGCTGTAAAAAGATTTTTTGCTGTAAAAAGAAACTAAGATTTTCAGACGCACCATCAGGTGGTTTATAACAGCAGCCTAATAGAATATTATTTTTCTTATTGTTTAAAATTTCAATAGTTACGATTTCTTTATCACCGTCAGAAACGCACATATCATTCCTAATGTTATGCGCAATGTGTTCCTTAACGTAAATCAGAACTCCTCCACCGCGTTTATTTGTTTGTCTTTCTACTAAAATTGTTTCAAAACCTAGAAGATGGAAAATAGAATTATTTTTAAAATCATTCGAAGAAATCCACGTTTCTGTTAAGCAAATTATGTTAAAAATATTTTCAGATTCATCTTAAAAATCGCAAAACTTTTCAAAATTTGTATTTAGACTTCTAATATTAATGTGAAGGATTCTGATTTTTTGATTTTCAGAGCCATTTTTATTAAGAAATTCTTTTAACTCGTTGGGATAAAATCAATTTTATTTAAATCAATTTAAAGTTCTGGTAAATGGTAAAATACGAACTTTAATTGCAATTACAATTAAAGCTCGCATTTAACCACCTACCAGATGAAAAAATAAAATGCGAACTCTTTAGAAAATTAAACCGAACTTTAATTGCTCGTAAAACAATAATTAATTTAAAAGAAAAGTGTAATTTAAATAAAATATATCGAATACCAATATATTTAATTTAAAAAATCGGTGAGGAAATGTTTTTAATATCATGACTCTTGTGGTCATTAAAATGTTTTGGTTCGCTAAAAAGTACACAGTTTGCATTTTACTGACTACCTACAGTTCTTAATTTCTAATTTACTGTTCTTTAGAACTAATTAGTATTTTCACTTATTACAAATATTATATAAAAGCCTTCCCATTAGGCACGGACGTAAAAAAGACGTTTAAAACGTCTTTTTAGATCCGGTGCCCCCTGGGTTTCTGTAAAAAAACTTTTAAATTATTTATATAATTATAAAAAATTTATATAATTGTTGAAATATATTTACAATTATACTGTTTTAATTGCGGAATCAGCTATGGTGACCCGTACGATACGGATCGCAGCAACTCTATTCCACATCCTTTTTCCAAACTTGTTCTTAGTTAGGTCTCTATACCTTAAGTAAACAGCAAAAAATAAGTCGATTTAAAGTTATTGGTAAACAATTGACTTAATATACTTTAGAAACTGTACTTATTTACTTAATGTACTCCAATATTTTATACATAAAAGGATCTTTAACATAATAGAGACAGTTGCGTAACACCTTTTCAGGTGTTTTTGAAAACTTAAGCTATAATCAAGATTTTACCCTCTCATCAAGATTTATTTAAAAAACAAATTTGGACATTAGAAAACTGGCCTAAGAGAATTGTTATTTTAAATAAGTTAGTTTTATTCGTTTGATACTTTTTATAAAAACGTTGCTGTAAAAAACAAAACTGTTAACTAGTTCATTTAATTAAGCTGTTTTTACATCCGAAGTTATTAAACATGTTGTTTGTGCTAATCGATACTTAATGCAAATGGAAACTTCGAGTACAAAATACAATTTTAAGTATAAATGGTTTCTATTCATATATATAATAAAAAGCAACAAAAAGAAAAAAAAACGATGCAAAAATGATCAATATATCCGTTTGAAACAATAAATCCAAAAATAAAAAGATATAGAAACTTATTTAAGAAAGAAAAAACATTTTTCTTGAGATAAAATAAAAATATAAACTTTAAAAAAAATTACAAAAAAAAAATTATGTTTAACAAAAGTAACAAAAATACTTAAAAAACAATTTAAATTGAAACATTGTTTCATTATTATTAGGCTTTAGGTAAGCCATAATCAAGTCAGCCATAAGAAAAAAAAATCGACCTTAAAATGGAACAAAATTATTTTAAACATAATACACATTAATTACAAATTAACGTGTCATGCAATCAATTAATTTTTTTGAAAACTCAAAAATGCGAATAAGTGGATAAGAAACTTACTTTTTATTTTTCCATAACCCTGACAGATCAACATGAATATGAGCTAAGACTATTAGCATAAAACATCACAACAATTAATTAAATAACAGAACATGTTAAAGTAAACTCTAGATAACCCACGCCTTTAAAGGACAAAGAAATTAGTTTAGTTTAATGAAAATTAGAGTTATTGGAAGTATAATATATAAAAAAAAGCTTAAGTGGAATTTCAAAATTAGTTTATATTGTTGAGGGTTGAGTTATCCTGAGTTTATTGAACATATTTAAACTACTAACTGCACACACTTATAAAAACATACATAAATATTTAAAAAACATGAATCTTTTACTTTATATAACACATATATATTAACATATAGGAAATAACACATTATAATTTTACAGGAAATTGACGACATTTAAAAGTAAAAAGTAAATTTGAATCAGATTGTGTTAACTGAACTCGAGGAACAAATACTCTATTGACAACTGAAACATCTGTAAGAACTTGCCAATCACTGTAATTATTTTGAAGAGCACACACCATCAATCGGGTACCATTGCAAAGTCCAGCTTTAATATCTAAATTTCGAAGTAACATTATAACAGCTCCAATTTTTAGTTTTAGGCAATGAACAGGCATTCCCGATGGAGTAAGACTGTTTAAAAACTCAACAGGAAAATTGTTGATTTTGTTAAGATCATCTGTTTCAATAGTATTTGCACTTAAATAAACTTTTACATCGCCTGGTAAACGGTCCAAAACTTCTTCATTTATTGCTAATGAATCTATGTTAGTGGGTATCAAAATGGCACATTTTGCATTATCATTTTCTTCTGCAACTCCAAAAATCTCATCTACTATAGATTCATTTGCTCCAAGCAAGCACTGCTCAGGAATTTCAATGCACTCGCGAAAGGAACCATCTGCTTTTAACGGTAATGTTTCACTACCAAATTTTAAATGAGAATTCATTGAGAGATTTCCTATTCTTCGGCCCAAAACCTCATATTTTCTGTTAATAAAAACTGCTGAACATATTGCCAATGTTGAGAACATTTTATACAGGCTTTAACAATATCTGCTGGTTGCCCTTTCTTTACAACCGGAAGTATTTGCAGGCTTCAATATTTATGTGCGCTTGATATTTTTTAGAAAGCCATGGGTTATAAGGTACAACCCGACGGTTATGAACTTGATTGCCTTTTATATCGACAATTCTTTCGTTATCGACATGCCTATAGCGTGGATAACCATTAAAAATTGAAACAGTGTGGAGATTAAATTTTTTTGGAAATTTTATGGTGCATTTCCCATCTTTCATGCAGGGAGAATTGGGATTTAAAATTCCACATGGTCCATGTATCACGCATGATTTTATAATTTCGTGAAGTTCAGTATCAACAGCTGGGTCAGGAACTTCTTCTGATATCAAACTGTCAATATCTTCTGCTGTTTCTGCTTATCTGCATTTACAAAGTGCAATAAAATATGTAAATTTGGCAAACCACGCTTTTGAAACTCAATAACCCGCACATGACTTACAACTTTGCCTAAGACTCCATGCTTGAAATATCTTCTAAAAAAAGTTTCATTTTAAATACCCGACAAACTAAATCAGGTCTGTCATTAGCAATTTGGCCAGGGTTTAAATTTTCTACTATTTCTCTCTATTTTGGATTGCAGGTAAAATTAATGAATAGATCTGGTTTACCATATTTCTTTATAACTGCCATCGCATTTTCAAAATTTTTTTTTAGTGCTCTTGAACCACCAACATATGAAGAAGCCAATATAACAACGCGGGCTGGTCTTACATTAAAATCATTAGCACAATTAATAACATGTTCATGCCATGCATCATATTGTTCACTTCAAAGTTTGTTTTGGTTATTTCTAATAAAAGCAAGACGCTGTCCTTCAACTTTGACATATGCATCAACAACTCATTGTTGAAAAAGTTTCTTACCATAGAATATAGGACTAATAATTTGTCTGGCGGACTTGTAAACGGCGCACCCCCCCCCCCCCCTAAGTTTAAAACACGTTTTATCAAAAATGATATTTTAGTGACTAGTAAAATTAATTAATTCAATTAAATAAAGTGTAATTACATCAATTGATCATAATTAATGAATAGAATTATATGTCAATGCTTTGATTAACCATAAGAGATTGACACAACGAAATATACATTCATTAATTGGCCGTAAGAATTGGAACAGTTTAGGTCATGATTATTAGTATTTCATAGGGGTGCATCGTTTACAAGTCCGCCGTTTGTCTAACCGCAAGCCTATAATTATAATGTAATCTATAAGTAATAAAACTATAAGGATAAAATGTAATCATTCATCATAAAAACCCTTTTCATTACTTTGAAACGCATTTAATGCAAGATTTGCAATAAATAAGTAAATACAAAACTAATAAAAGAAAACCTCTATAAACAATCATATATTTGCTTTAAATGAAGAAACTTGGAAATATTGAAACTTGATTAACTATTTTAATTTTTTTCAGATATCTAATATTCTGAAAACAAAAAGTCAATAATATCAAATACAATAATATCAAATACACCTCCGACAAGATATTTACAAACACATAAATGATATTTACTTACTTGATAATGATAAATTTACTAACTTGATAATGATAAATACATACTTACAAAATATAAACCCATATAACCTAAACACATAAACATAAATAACACATAAATATAAATTAATCTATATAAAAATATATAAATCAAGAAAAATATATAGTTTAGAAACTTTACAAATACAACCTTATTTTTGTTTAATGACATACCGATCTGGTTTTTTATATAAAAGCAAACAGATTTTTTTTTAACTTCTTTAAATATATATATATATATATATATATATATATATATATATATATATATATATATATATATATATATATATATACAACACTAACTTTATCAAGAGCTTGACCTCTTGAAAAGAGCATCGTCTTTTAATTAAAAAATTAGAATTATTACTAACTATTACTTATTACTAATTAAGCTGATGAAGCAAAGTTTTCGACCTTATTACTGATTAAACAGATATTAACAGATTCAAGAGTACCTCATCGCGTGGTCAAAAAGAGAAATATCTAAAAGGCCAAGCATGCTCATAAAACTCCGCGTAAAATTGCGCACGAATGGTGAGCACTCATCAGAAGCATTAAAGGGATCCCCAACTGCCGAGACAAGTTGTGTTCATATTAAAGAAAATGTTTAAAAAAAACATTTGGGCTAAATTTTTTTGATTGAAACTAAATAATGAATGCATACCAACAAAATTAAAATTAGCGTTTTAGTCGAAGCTCGCCTTCTCCATTTTTTTCGGTTCTCGGGGTCTGTATAATGATAGCCGCAATCTGCAGACTTGATAATTTATTCAATGCGTGTTAATTAGTGTTGAAAATTTCCGCAAAATTTCCGGAAATTTTCAACCTTAATAATTTGCGAAACAAGTATTAGATCAAACAAGCTATTAATTTGTTTGTTTCTTATTTCTTCTGTTACTTGTTCCGCAAAATATTATGGTTGAAAATTTCCGGAAATTTTGCGGAAATTTTCAACACTTAAAAAACGTTATCTTAAAAACACAAAAAAACGTTATCTTAAAAAGATATTGCGATGACGAATTAGCAGTGTTAATTCATAACAGTTTCGGTATATGACGTCATCGCAATATTTTTTTAAGATAACGTTTTTTTGTTGTTGTTTTTTTTTAAAGATAAAGGTTTACTACAATCAGAAAATTAAATATTTGTATTATTTTTCACTAAATCACAAAAAATATTTGTGATTTAGTAAAAAAATATACAAATATATATATGTATATATATCAGGGCCGGCGCGAGTAGGTGTCACGTGGGGGGGGGGGGGTGCCATTACAACTTTTGCCGACTAAAAAAAAAAAAGTCCTCGTTTTCCAAAATTTGCCGACTGCCATGGCGAATTTGCCGACTGTTTAACCTATATCGAAAGGGTCGAATTTTGCCGACTAACTAGTCTAAAAGGGTCCAATTTGCCGACTAAGGGTCTAATTTGCCGTTGACGGGGGGTGTCACACCCCCTATCGCGCCGGCCTTGATATATATATATATATATATATATATATATATATATATATATATATATATATATATATATTTATATTTATAATTTTTTTACTTGTTTTATTATTGTTTTATGTTTATTATTTATTTATGTTGTAGAAGCCAGCCAAAATCATGACACAATTATACATATGTTGTGATTATTAGAGTTGTCAGGCAGAAAAAAAAATAAAGGCAGTATGATGCGGTTTTTTGTTTTATATATAGTTTATATGGTTCAATAGAGTTGTTCGTTTTATGTTTAATTTACATTTAGTTATGGTTTAACTCTTTCACTACCGCAAGCCACTGGTAGTGTCTTTCGAGTATGCTTTACAATTTATCTTGTTTAGTACAAAAATTTCCATTCTAGGCACATAGAATTTGTTTGTTTTGAAGGTTTTATTAATTCTCTACATAATCAAGAAAAAATAAGAGCTATAATTGTGTAATTATAAAAAAAATATCAGAAAATTAAAAAATCTTGAATAATCCTTCATAAAAAAAACTTTAAATTTAATTGTAAAATAAAACAGCGTTAACACTGTAAAATTAACTTGTAGAAGCGTTTAGTATTTAGTTAAGTAATTACCAAAGTATTTTGAAGAAAATTTTTTATTTTTATTCATTAAATGAGGTTTGCTTTGGACCTAATGTTTTAGTTATTACTTACAGTTTTAAGCACTTTGCATTTCTTAATGTTTAATAAAGCGTGTTAAAAACTTTATTATTATCGAATTTTAATTAATTGTCAATGTTATGCTATTCAAACGTTGTTCAAAAAAATGTGCGGTTGCTACAAAAAGATTTTTGTTAAAAGATTTTTGTTCGGCTGGTAGCGAACAATTGAATACGATTCTTTGTTTTTATATTTATATTATAACTATTTCTTCTATATTTTAGTACAAATATTTGTTTTAAGTTTAATTTTGATTTGAACGGTTATTAGTAAAATAAATCGTTTAATATTTATTTTCTACGTTGTTCAGTTTATATGTTTTAAGTCAAGTATTTATATGTTCAATTTATATGTCAAATTTATATGTCAAGTATTTATATGTTTTATGTCAAGTATTTATATGTTCAAGTCACTCGTTTTTTTTTTCAGTTTATACTTTAAATTAACTTATACGCTTTAGTAAAATTATTTTTTTAGTATCTAGTTTATATTTAGTTTAAACCAGTACGTTTAACTGTAAATATTCGTTATATATGAAATTTTTATTTTTATAAATTTAACTTTTAATTGAATCATAAACTTTTTTCGGATTTAGTAAAAAGTTATAAAATTAACAAGATTTGGTGATTTTGGAAAAAAAAATAATACTACTTCTAAAAAAAAAAAATTTATACGATGACGTCATATACCAATACTGTTATGAATTTACACGGATTGAATAAATTATCAAGTCTGCAGATTGCGGCTAACATTATACAGACTCCGAGAACCAAAAAAAAATGGAGACAGCGACCTTCGACTAAAACGCAAATTTTAAATTTAATGGTGTGCATTTATTACAAAGTTTTAGTCAAAAAAATTTAGCCCAAATGTCTGTTCTATCAAATTTTTGATGGACATTGATAATTTTTTTAAAAAATGTTGGTTTTTTTAAAACGTTTATATTTTTGTTTGCATTTGTCTTAAATAAAAAACGTGATATTTTTGTAATGACCAACAAATTATTAAACTTTCCTATTACTGTAAGCATTAAAAAATTTATACAATATTTTTCTGCAAGATTTCATTTCCATCGGGTACAGAGCGTTCGACATCTTATAAACATTATACTGACATGTGATGTTTAGAAAGCGTTGTATAAACGTCTTACGGATGTCTGTAGTCGCCTTAAAAGTCAATGTTCTCAGCAAGCTCAATTCGATAAAAATTATTGTCAAAAAAAGACATTGTTTTATCATTGTTGATAACAGATAATTTT